GAAAATAATTCAGGTGGGGAGCTGCGTCAGCATGCGTAGGCTGCAAAGGAACAAGTAATAGGTTTATTCCATGCTGAAAAAAAGAAGAAAGAAAACACAACATTTAAGCCGCGGGGCCTTCTTCAGGTGTGAGGTATGAAGAAGGTGTGAAGATGAAGAAGGCTCACACCCCACGGCCAAAACGTTGCGTTTTCTTTCTTCTTTTTTCAGCATTGAATAAACCTATTACTTGATCCTAATAAGGAAAATAAGTTTATCAGTACTGTACCAAACCAAGTACTGTATTAACCCCACTTACATTACAGAGGAGACAAAAACACGATTCACTTCTTCACCTATTCTCCTTCACACCTGTAAAAACAAATCTAAATAAGCCAATGGTTTAATACAGCAAAACAAAGTAAAAACAATACTTCTGGATTAGAAAATGCAACTTGTTCTCTCTTCTGAAAAGGACAGCATGTTCTTCAGAGGTCAGAACAGACACGTAGGTCTGTCTAAGGTTTCACTGCTTGCTGCCACTACAACACTGCCTACAGCAGCATTTTCCACGTGTGCCCCTCTGCCCAAAAGCAAATAATTATTTCCAAACCGTGACGCAGTCGCAGACTAACACCTACTTCAGTGCACAAGAGCACAGACCGCTCTGTTAACACGACGGCACAAATGTTCTGACAAGGTTACTTGGGCCACATGCTCAACAGGACTGCAGGTGCCCCAAGCTGCACCTTTGACCCGCCTGCTGGGGAAACAGTACAGCACCGCTTCCTGCCTTGGTGACGAAAGGTGGCGATACGAAAATAAGACGCAGGGGCCGGCGTCATTTCAAGAACAGCTCCTGCTCGTCCACGCTCACCGACACACTTCACGCCCTTAAAGTATTCCTTTCTGAGGCTGATAAAAAGCCGGCTTGCCACCATGAGGGGGCAACTCATTCGCACCGTGTTCTCTCGGCTGCCCTGGGAACCGCAGGCCTGTCAGTCAACCTCTGGCTTCGCTCATCGTGAAGAGCTTGTTCAACCCCCGAGTGGTGCATTAACACGATAGCTCCGCATGGGCCGTCCCACACATGCAAACACTGCCCATTTGGCTTTGCAGAGCCTTTCCACCCTTCCTGGTGCTGCGGTGCGGCACGATGGCTATGACAGTCCTGTTGGGAGAGTACAGCTTAAAGCAAAGAGCTCTGCTGCAGGGGGAGATCTCAGACCTGGGAGGCTGAATCACTCTTTTAACACTTTTATGGCTGCACATAAAACCCTTTTACAAAGGCAAAGGTCAGGTGATGACAGGCCTGAAGAAGGCAATGCGCTCCACATGACAGCGCACATTCCTGTACAGGCAAGGTGGCCACGGTCTTCCAGAAGCAGGAAATTTCACCTCAAATCGCAGCTGCGCCTGCTGCAAGCACATCCAGACACCTGCTGCAGGATACTTTTAACACACCTCAGATTCTACAGGTGCAGCCTTTTGCATTAGACTGATCAAGAAGAAAAGCCATTTATTTTACATCCTAACACGCAGAGACACACACGACCCAATAGTCTTAGAACATGCAGCATATAGTGCTGGCTGGTAAAAATAAAATTAATTTGAATTCAACATAAATGAGAATTGTAATAAATAACGGGATGTTTGAATTGTAGAATGCACTAGAAATGGTCCATTTTGATTAGAAGGTACAATTTCTGTCTCTATGGCACAGAAAAGATATTGGTGCTCTGGAATCTATCCAGAGGAGAGAAACCAGATACATTTCGGAGCTAAAGGAAACACTGACAGGCCGAAGGAACGGAAACCTACGAGTCCTGAGTATTCATGTATTCAGAATACTCAAGGGCACTGATAAAGTCAACCCACTGGACGTCTTTAGAACTAACAGTGAAACACGATCCAGAAAGCACAACTGGAAATTATGTGGAAAAGTATCTCGAACGGAGAACAGAAGGCACTTCTTTATCTACGACAAGATAGGAAAATTCATGCCAGGATAAAGCTCTCTAATCAGCCCCCAGATTAACATATTTGATTCTAAACTCAGTGCTCTTGAAAGACAAAGAATAATTAAAGAATGGCATTAATTATGCTAGCAGACACCAGGATGAGCGGCTGCACCCACAGACTACAAACTAAAATCTCATTTTCCCTGGGAGCCATGGCCACGAATTCTCCATGCGACTCGACCACATTCCTCC